GGCTGTTTTTAGCTCTGTAGGCAATCTGTCAAGAGATGGGCGGTCTAATCTGATATTTCCCAGGGCTCTGTAAGGATTTATTAAGTTCCAATTTTGCTGCTTGGACTGACTCTTCTAGTGTGGGGAAAACATCAGTAAAATGGAGCTGGTCTTTAAAACACTAACACAGTGCTTTGAGACATGCAGCTGAACAATATCTAGTATTGCTACTCCTATATCACAGGAGAACCAGAGGGGGACAGAAGATAGTGTAATGCTTTTACAACATATGGAAAACATTATCTGAATAGCAAAAATCTGACATAAATCTATGCACACATACTTATAGCTCAGATTTGAACTCTCCATAGCCCTTGCTAGACAAGTAGGGATAATGATTCTTTTATTCATAGTGCATTGAAAGAGAGTCCCGCTCATATTTTCACACGCCCCAGCAGTCAGTCTCTCTGCTTTTATTTACGGCTAGAAGTCCTGGACATAGTCATGGCAAAAAGGAAAAGCAACTGGCAGGTCTCAGCTGATGCAAAGTACTGTCTGACATTTTTCAAAGGACATCAATTGGAAAGGACTTGCTGCTAATCAATGTGAAACAGATACTTGTCAAATTCCCACAGAGCATGCTGCAATGTGAAGTAGCTTCTTAGAGCAGCAGGTTTTTTGTGAAGGGAGCTTGGACAGGCAGTTTTTCTCTTAGGCCTGCATTCCTGACAGCTGCCTAGTACCTTTTTCTCAGACTTGTTACATTCATGTCAAGATATATAAATGCCTTCTCTTTTTTTGCTCCTTAACTACTGCACAATCTTTCAATTTTTTAAGCAAAGAAAGATAGAAACCATATTTTCCATCATCTACAGTGGAAGCTGGAGTTTTTCCCATACAAGGAAATGGCTTCTTGTTATCTGAAGATGACATCTCTATTTTACAGTAAAAGCCTCCATTCTCTTTTTTTTTCTGTTATTTTTACTCCCTCCATCTCAAAGCTGAACTTATCGAATAGCTTGCAAAGAAAAGTAATAAAAGAAAGATGGTTTTGCTCTGTTTCCTGGCGACCAACACCACTGAGACCCCAGGTAGCATTACGCTGGCTAATTCAAGACAGAAACAATCTCCATTACAGTTAAGTGGCAAGAGAGGATGCAGCACTAACCTTGGCACAGAAAATCCTTGCCAGAGCTGCCTGCTCTTCACGGCAGAATTCAAAGTGATAGAGGAATCTCTTTTGAATATGAGAAATTACATTCCATGCATGTTTATTTGGCTTTTGGGGGGGGATTTCCTCTACTAAGCTTAACCATGTTGGCTCTTGCATTACCCTCTTTATCTGTAAAAGCATTTAACAAAACTCTCTTATTGCAGGTCTAATACAAGAGGACATACTGTGGCTCCTTTAACAACTCCCAGAGAAAGCTGGGTATGTTGTCTTTGCACTTACCTCAAACTGCCTCTGCCCTTCTCCCCAACAATGTACCCCTGAGGGTGGGGAAAAGTCCTTGTACAAATAACATGATACTTGAAGAGAGAGAAAGGACTTTAAAAGTGGCACGTACTCCCCTAGAATACCAAGCAAGTGCAGTTTATGTCAGCCTGTGGGAATGAAGAAGGTCATATAGGTCTGGGCTACTTTGGAGGTCTGATAGAAGGAGGAGATCAAGGAGCAGTGATGGGAATTGATTTCCTGGTTCAGACTAGAGGTGCCTCTAAATCAGTACAGAACAGTGCAGACTGGCAAGGGCTCCTGGTGGCTCCTCATTAGAGACTCCCTCCATACATGCAATAGACCCAGTTCCTCAAAGGCATTTAGGCACAAGGCCAAGGCAATGAGGTACTTCTCAAGGCTAACCACATTGCCTTCACTGAAAAACTCATACCAAAACCATGTTAGAAATAGTGCAGAGTTCAGATATTCCCTAAGGAGCCAGAGCAATAGAAATGCAACAGGAAGAGAGCTTCCCATCCTTGCCATTACTGAATACCAAACAGAGAAAAATGCAAGAAGCCCACAGGGATATGTTGTCTTCAGTCCTGTCAGTCACAAATGTGACAGCTGGGACCTTTAAAAACTGTCAAAGGAGGAAAACCAAGGCACTCCAAATGCCAAGTCTGTCAGTAGCATAATTAACATGTCATATATGATCTGCTCAAAAATGCAGCACTTACTGCATCTCCAACAGACAGGCTATTAAAAATGCTGCTCAGCCGGTAATTCCTGCACCTTGCAATAATGTCTAAGTTACTGAAAAATCAAGAAAAACACAAACTGTAGTGTTTGGGAAGACAGAAATCAGTTTGTAGCCCATAGGGGAAGGCAAACTAATCTGCCACAGGGGCTGCTGCTACTCCCACTCCAGAAGACTGCCTCTGGAAACATGTACCCACTAACCTGAAAGAACCATTTTGAGGCAGGTGGCATAAAGCACCAGGAAAAAGGGAAGATTCCTCTCCCCCATCTCTGGCAGCATATCTCAGACAAACAAGTGTGAAGTGACGAGCAATAGAAAGAAAAATCCCATATTGTGAAACCCAGTCCATACAGAGAGGCATTGCAATTCTTTCCCTTCACAGACAAAATGGATGTGCATGGTTAAGTGAAGGAGGGTCCTAGTTAAGGTAAAATACTTGGAGCAACCTAGATGAAAGCTCAGGTTGAGAAAAAACTAGGGTTTGTTTTTTTTTTAAAAATGTAGATGTGTAGCCATCATGATTGATCAACATGACCAGGCCAAGGACAGCATCTGAACCCATTATTCAAACATACCTGAGCAAACTTGCTATCACATTGCTTGGAAGTACAGTATTGCTGCTAGCATAGGCTCTTCCACAGCTGATCTCTGACACACAGATCAGGAAAAGCACTGGAAAGGGAAACTCAGAGGGTGAGGTCCAGTGTTACTGTAAGGAATGATGGACTCGTAAGGACTGGGTGAGACATAGGGAAAGAAATAAAAGCCAGGCATGCAAAAAAAGGAAAAAAGAGCTTCAAAAGTGGTAAGTCTGGTAAAACAGTAAATTTTTACAGAATGTAACAATTACCAATGAAGACATACAGAGAAGTTTTATCTATAGACTGATAGAAAATTTAAAATCATAATAATATAAAAATAATATATTTGTGCACAATAAATAGATCATTTCTTCTCCTCTTTCAGATTGACTTAAAATGATGCAAGTTAAGAGTATCTTACAAATAGCAAAGAATCTTAGTTTATAAAATATTTGTGAAGTAAGTTTTCCTTGCCAGTTCCTATTTCTGAACAAGTGATTTGGAAAGAAACCTCTTCAATGATACCTCTGGCTTCTTAACAATAGAGAACCCATAGTCCAATTCTTGTCTCAACATTATTTTCTTGTCTCAATAAACAGAAAAGACCCTAACCCTGTGGTCAGCCAATCAGTTCCATTAAACAAACCAGTTTTATCAGCAGTTCCTACATCAGAACAAAGGGAGAAAAAACAAAGCAGAACAAAGATGTGAGATACACCTTATATTCCCGATGACTGAAAAGTAGCTTCTGAGCCATGCAAAGAGCTCTCAACACCCTGATCAGATGGAGACAGGATATAGCACTATCTGAACACATGCTTAAAATGCTTTGGAGAGAAATAGTTATATCCAAGCTGCTGCTGTAGGCAGGAGGTTCTTGCTGAGATTATAATCAGCTGTGTGAATGAGCACAGAGACAAACCACATTTGGCTAGATGAGTTTTTGTTAAGACCTGCCAGTGATACAGGAAAGAAATAAAATTGCCCTTATAATGAAAATGGTCTCATTTGCAGCTCTCTGATAAGTAGTATTTATCATGAATCTTTGATTCCTCATGCTGCTATTGCAGTTCCTCTGGGATGACATTAATGTACCATTTCTCCATGGCTCCTACTTAACCAGTCTCTGCTACAAACAGGATTTTCACCCCTGGCCTGTGGAATTTCTTGAATTATCTGATAAGGGACAGTTTCAGCCATGATCACAGCAGGTCCAGGATTCTGCCCAAACATTATAATAAAATGTGGGTCAACTGCGCTATACGCAGTAGTGTGAAGTAAGATAAGGGTTTTACTGAAACTTCTTTACAGAGACATATAAAAGTTGATAAGAGCTTCATCATTCAGTAGAAGCACACTCATCTCATGCAATCAAAATCATCAGAAGTGATTTTACAGAAACGAGTACGTATTTTTAAAAAGTTATATTTAACTAAGGTCTAGCACCAGACAAAAAATGAATATTTAAGAAAGTGAGACAGCAGCACATTTTAAAAACCAACAGTAATAATTAGCACACACTAGCTTATATTTTCAAAGCATTTTATAAACACATGTATTAATTAAGCCTCACAACACCCTTGTGAGATAATTACGTACTATTAGTCCCATGTTAGAGATAGGGAAATGAGAATGAAGCAAGTATGACCTGCTCACCACTACGCATGCCAAATCCAGGTACAGAACACCAGATTTTCCATTTTTTTGCCATATGTGGTCTGCTCTCTTAAAAGGTGCTGGTCTTTAATTTAAATTTGTTTCCTCTTATTCCTTTTAAGACACCTGTACTTATTTCAGTCTGATCTGAAAAGGTACTCCCCAAGAGCTATTCATAGAATCATAGAATGATTTGGGTTGGAAAGAACCTTAAAGATCATCCAGTTCCAACTCCCCTGCCATGGGCAGGGACACCTTTCACTAGAGCAGGTTGCTCAGAGCTCCATCAGAGCTCCATCCAACCTGGCCTTGAGCACTTCCAGGGATGGGGCACCCATAGCTTCTCTCTGGGCAACCCGTGCCAGTGCTTCACCACCCTCACAATAAAGAATTTCTTCCTAATATCTAAGCGTAAACCTACCCTCTTTCAGTTTAAAGCCATTCCTCCCTGTTGTACTACTATGTGCTCTTGTAAAAAGTCCCTCTCCAGCTCTCCTGTAGCCCCTTCTAGGTACTGAAAGGCTGCAATAAGGTCTCTCCAGAGACTTCTCTTCTCCAGGCTGATCTCTCTCAGTCTGTCTTTATAAGATAGATGTTCCAGCCCTCTGATCATCTTTGTAGCCCTTCTCTGGACTCACTCTATTATGCTGGGGGCCCCAGAGCTGGATGCAGTACTCCACATGGGTCTCACGAGAGCAGAATAGAGGGGAGGATCACCTCCCTTGACCTACTGGTCATGCCTCTTTTGATGCAGCCCAGGATGGGGTTGGCTTTCTGGAGAAGTTATCAACACATTCCAGGAACCTCCTGAATTGCTTATGCCCTGCTGTGTTGTCCCTCCAATAGATATGGGGATGGTTGAAGTCTCCCATGACTACCAAGGCTTGTGAACACAAGGCTGCTTTTATCTGTCTATATACAGCTTCATCCACTCAATCTTCCTGGTTGGGCGATCTGTAGCAGACCTCCACCATGTCACCTGTCTCTGCCCTCCCTTAATCCTGACCCATAAACTCTTGGTTGACTCCTCATCCATCCCTAGGCTGAGCTCCATGAACTCCAGCCAGAGCTCCATGTACTCCAGCCAGTCATTGACACAGAAGGTGAGACACCTCCATGCCTGTTCTTCTTAAACAGCCTGTATCCTTCCAACACTCTAGTCATAGGAGTCATCCCACCCTGTCTCTGTAATGCCAACAAGATCACAGCCCTGCAGGCATGTGCACACTATTCAAGACAGACAAAGAACATTTTTATAAACTGTGTGTTGCTGGAAGCTGTTTAACAAAAGACTTGGCATGGGTGCTTCCATACTGCCAGAGTCAGAGTGTTACTTCTCATCAGGCACCTGCCACCAGGAAACTTGCTCAGGCCTATCTGCAATGCTAATACACCTCAGAATCTGCAAAAAAGTAAGCTTTCTTTGCCAGTTCCAAACAAGAAATCTCTCTCTGGCAGGGGGTCTTCTCTAAGAAGAACTCATAAGAGTACAACTGCACTGAAAACAAAGATTTTTATCAAGAGACTCTAAAGGTGAAGTCAAGGGCACAAATTTATGTCAGAAAGTGTGGAAAAGTTCATATATTGTGCTCTGTGTTGAGAGATGGTCTGCAGGCATCAAGTGCCCTGGAGGCTTGAGGAAAATAATTCTCCATAGTCACTTTGAGAAGACAAGTTCCCTTAGTATATCACTCTTGCACTGAACTAGTGAATGACAGACTAGGATTAAAAATTCCAAACCATCTGAAAGTTCAAGTCAATGGATCTAACTGTCAAATTTAACTCTACAAAAATGTCAAATCTGGCAGATCTACTGCTACCTGCTTGCAAACCCAGGCCCAGGTGTTAGTGAAGGCATAGAGATAAAAATAGTCCTTTCATCTTCAGTTACATATGTTTATTAGACACTATCCGGAGTTCAGGGAGTTAGTTTCATGACAGCTGAATCTGAAGATCCTCCCCATACTTTCGGATCAGCTTCATGTGGTTATGATCCACTGACCATTGCTCTGGGAGGTGCTTGGGCTGCATACTGTCCAAAAAGTGCTGCCGCCAGCGTCTTTCCAACTGCATAAGGGAGCGCAGGCCTCCTTTAGCAAAACACTGCACCACCTTCAGTCCATGTGGCATGTAGCTCTCATTGCAGATCCTGCCAAGACATAAGCAGAGTTTAGTTTCACGCAAGCCCACTGTCAGACTCTAGATCTGTCTCCAGTGAACAGCAAGACACTGAAGATACTTTCAGCTGCAGAGTTTAATTACAGACACATGGTAAGCTAACCAAGAGGGAGAGTTTTAAGCTCTGCTTCAATGCCAGACTGCTTTCCAGAACACAGTTACACTGTGAAGCTGGTTTCTCTGAACTGAGAGTGTTTTTCTTTGACAACAACACTAAACAAAGCTCTTTAGGTCCATTACATGCTCCTTAGGATACAGACTGCAAATTTCTCAAGGCAAGAACTGTATGACCCTCCAGATCCTGCCACTGAATTCTCTGCCTGGATAGATTCTGAGTTATAACATTGGCATATTACAAATAACAGTGAGCATAAAAAGGAGAAAATACCGATTTCATGCAGATAGAGATTAGATACTCATTAAGAAAAGGTATTTGGGGAGGCTTTGAGAAAGTGAAGGAGAATTCCGATATCATTGTCCTTCAACCTCTCTTCCTGATCTGTCCTTCAAAAGAAGTATAAAGTGTTGGAGGGGAAGATGAAGAGCAAGAACAGAAGATGCTGGAAGAGGAAGGGAAAGAGGGGAAGAAACAAGAGCTGCAGTTCACAGATCACTGCTGGGTTGTGGGGAGAAGTGTGTAAACAAAACCAAAACCAGTAAGAAATGCAATATAAATTACCAAAATCTGACACCTACTGATGGGCTTGTTATACCTGGTTTCCAGACCAGCTGCTTCCTGGAGTATCTCTGGTGTGACTGCCTCTGTGTTAAAGAAGTCCTTGATGCTTTGCAGAAGCTCTGCCCTTCGGGGGTCAGGCAGGCTGTCTGCATTCAGCAGGGCTCGCGCTCCCGAGCGCACTTGCCTGCGCAGAGGGTCCTCCAGCAGACGCACACCTTCCTCGGAGCCGATAGGAGCACCAAACTCCTCAGCCAACTGCTGCTTGAGATGGTTGTCATAGTAATTGGAAATGGCATGGCAGGATGTGCAGAGTAGGAGCACATCATGGGAGTTGTGGTCCTTCATCTGGATGGGGAAGTGTCTTCGGTATTCGTGAGGAACAACATTCTTCCTAGAGAAGACAAAACAGACAGTTCATTACATTTGTCTGGAGCTGCTACTCCTCAGTTACTCCTCTTCCTTGTCTAGAAAGTGTTACCTAAAACTTAAAGTCCAGGAAAACAAAGATTACCAGGATCAAGATCTTAGTACAGCAAGACATTATTTTTATTCTTTTTATTTGTAGTTGTCTCTAGAGGTTTTCTGCATTTCTCTTTTTTCCCCCTTCCAAAGATTCATCCCTTTCAATCAAAAAGAAAAAGATTCATACTTTAAAAAAAAATAATGAGAAGTACTTCTTCTATGAGAAGTATATTTCTCAACTAATCAGTAGCAGCTGCAGAGACAAAAATCTTGTTCCTTTTGACCTCATGAGCTTCAGGCTCACCTAAACCTTTCAAAAATATAAGGATTAATTAGTAGAAGGACTAGAACAACTATTTTCAGAAGAGGACGCCACCTGAACAGTGTGTGTCAGCACACTGCTGCCCCCCTCATTCAAACTGCAGCATATACATGAGAGCTTTGCTCTTCCTAGGATCGATATCACCTTCCTCTCAGAGAAAAGGCCGGTCTCTTCACTTTCAAACTTGCCCAGTCACATACAACTACAGAGCATTCAAATAGTGACAGCCCATCCAGGACATGAATAGGCATAATGTTTCAGGCCACTAACCAAGCTATGGATGCCAAACTAGATGCAGACCTCAGTTCTGTTTTAAAAGATGCAGTTTTTCCCTATCCACTAAACAACTCACCGGATATAGGATTCTCGCTTGCCACAGACAACACACAGGTTTTCTTTGACTGTCAGATAATAATCAACTTGAGACTCAGGACGTCCTGAAGGCTCAAACCGCAGCTTCACAACAAAGGGGTCTGTGCTAACTAGCTCTAAAAGGGTAAAGGCAAAGAGAGAATATTCAAAACAAATTTGAATTTGAAATCTTAAATAACAATGCTACAATGTAAGAGTCATCCTAGCAAATCCCAAATAGTATTTCCAATAAGAGAGGATACAAAACATTCATGCTCCATTATCTAAAAAACAAAGAAGAGAAGAGAGAAGAGAAGCAGTATTTCAAATACCACCCGAAAATCTGGTATGCCTACCTCCAATCCCCTTGTCCAGATACCACTGAGCCTTCTTGCGATCACAAGTGCACAGGGGTTGTCCATCTGGTGCATGCAGGAAGCAGTTGTCATACAGCGGAGATTTTCTGTGAAACAAGGACAGCATTACAGCAACTATGATAGCATGCCAAAAAAACCCAGAGCTCTCTGTAGCCATTGGTGCCACATTCCAATTCACGCAGCCTCCTCCAAATCACAGGAGTGCCCCTAAACACACACTTGAGGCTGCTGAGACTGCACAAGTAGCTGGTAATGGAAGCAGTACATCTAAAACTTACCTAGGATTTACTACCTCTAAGCTATCTTTGTTTTCCTGCTGCCAACAGAATTGTAACTCTGAACCCCAATTTTCAAGAGATGCCATCAATTATGACAGCCTTTAAAAAAAATTAAATTAGAAAACAAAAGAAAATTGAAGTCACAAAGGATGATGAGTCAAGAGTAAGCTCACAGAGAGTGTCAACTTACTGGCGAGGTAGTTTCAAGGACTGGCTGCCTAAGGCTGTATTTAAAACCTTTATTAAGAAAAATTTTCTAAAACTTAGTGTGAATAGCAATTACTTCACTTACGTAAGAGAAATGTTCCAAAAAGTCTCCAAAAGTTGGGGACTCAAACACATGAGTCCATGAGAACAACAAAACTGAGCAGAGGCCCTCAAAAACAGGCCCCAACCTGTGGTAGGGACAAGAATTTCTGGTGGAGCAGTCTCTGGTGGTTTGTGGCAGTGTGTGGAAGGGCACTGTTTAGGAGAAAGTGTTTCCTTACTCTGCCAATCTCCTTCAAACAAAACTGAAGAGTGGACAGATCGGGCTTAGAGAGGACCTGGTTGGAACTGGCCAGACACGTCACAATACACTGAGGAAAAGTTTCCTTTCTTCTCTCCAGCGAGATTGTACAAGCTGTAGTCAGCAGAGCTCTACCAGCTAAAAGGTTGATTCACAGGCTATATATATATAATCTGACAGAAGGATTTCTTCTGAGGTCCATGAAGGGGAAAAAACCCAACAAAACAATGATACAGGAGGTCCCTTCCACTGAGCAGTTCAACAGTTCAACTTAGTCACCATGACAATTTCAGTACATGCCAACTTTAAATTAATAAACATTAAAACTAAACAGACTTAAACAGAAAGGAAGAGTGGAAAATTACTTTTGAAACCACATCCAGTGTTACTACAGACCAGAGCCACACTGCTGTAAATACTATAAAAAACATTGAGTCTACATATCTCTCAAGAAGTCAAGCGCAGTTAAAAACAAAAAATAAATAAACAAATATGGGGAGATCTCAATTTAACTCGGAAAGCAATTTTGTTTAAATTTTAATCCTCCCCTGAGACACAGTACTCCTGTTTTGCATGACACAGCCTCCCAATAAAAAATTAAAAAAAAACCCTGGAAGGACTTGCTACGTAAAACACAACACTGTTAATGACTGCTAATGAAATCAATATTATTGACTACATTAAGATGTCTCCATTGCCAATCCAATAAACTTAAAAAGGAGAAAACAAATACTAAAATGTTTGGCTTTCTTTCCCAATGATAATTACGTACAATTTTAGTTCATATATCCAGTGACAAATTTTATTAGATTGTATCCCAACAAAGCCAAACATACTAGCTCCCCACATCTTCCACTGCACTGCTCTTAAAGAGACTTCTCCAACTAGTTTTGAACTCTTCATTAGCAAAAGCCCATAAGAATTTAGGATCCACTCCCAAAAATCACCTGCAAAGACAGTGATCCTGAATCCAGCAACAGCTGCCTCTGCAAGTCCAAAGTAGTACCATTCCCTCCTCTCTCTCCCAGGCCAACACAGAGGGGCTAACACAGACTGTTCCTTCCTGTGCCCTCTGGTACCTCAGCTTTCATCTCTGCTCAGTACTCTGCCATCTCTGTGGCCATAGTGACATGGGACAGCAAAGTACAAACAGTAGTCCACAAGGCAGATCCTGATGAAAGGACAAGCTCTATGCAGTTGCCACCTTTTCCCAGGAGGAGAAAAGGCACAGCTGTTTAGGCAGCAGAATCATAGAATATGCTGACTTGGAAGGGACCCATCAGGATCGTCAAGTCCAACTCCTGGTCCTGTGCAGGACACCCCAGGAATAACACCTCCTGCTGGGACTCTTCTCTCTGGCTAATGCTTCCACAGGAGAATGAAGGAAGGGTAAAAGTGGAAGACAACACTTTAACTTGCTCATGACCTAGTACAGATCCAAGTGCTGCCCCACTTCTAATACCTAGAGAGAAATGAGGAACACAGAAACAGGATCTGGCTCCCATGACTGTTAGGTCCTGCATTTCCTTTCTAGCTCATATTACCCACTTTGTTTAATGAATAGAGCAGGAGGCAACATTCAAAGTTTTCCATCTGTGGTGCAAAGAGTAAAGTGTGCTCATATACTTACCGTGCAGAATATCCCACACCCAGAGGCTTTCGCTTCTGCCTCCGTGGATCTCTCACTTGATGATTGCCAGAGGGCTGGCCATTCACCCAAGATTTCCGATTCTTTGTTTTCTGAGGGGAGTGTCCATCTCCACTCTTCTCCTCTCCTGTGCTGCCACTCTTTCTTCCTCTAAATGGGATATCCACCAAGCCCCGGCATTCACCCAACACTTTTTCCCAATCAGCAACAGAGTTTTCACCTTCAGATGTAGCAGGGAGGCCAGCAAATCCCAGTAAATGGAGGAACAGAGCCACTGAGATCTGGGCATCCCTAGCAGCATAGAGAATCTGCAGAAAAGCACAGACATCTAGATATGGACAAACAGCAAATACTGCCAAACATTATTAGTCTTCAACACTTGGTACAGTAAAGCCAGAAGCTGCATTCATTTCCTTTTGAAGTTCAAAGTTTTGCCAGTTGAATGGCACTGTCATAACATCACCACACCCCACATTTTTAGGGTCAGTTAGACTTGAAGTACTCATGGGTGCCCGCAGGAACTGCAAGGGAGTGAAAAAATTCAGATCAGCCAGGCCCTAAAACACCCTCCTACCCCACCAAACCCTCCCCTGGCTACGAATATTCAGCGTGGTTCTTTGTCCTGTCACTCCCTCTACTGGTCACTGATATCGCAGATATCTGCAGCTTGACTAAAGAAACTGAGCAATCACAGAAACTATAATGCTCTAAAGAAGGTTTCCAGTGTCTGCACTGACTGCTACAGAATGAAGAAAAGAAAGTAAGAAAAAGGTGAGGTTTTGGAAACACTTCTTCCAGGGATCTTGCCTTATAGCTCTTTCAGGACTAAAGGAAAACAACGGTCAAGTATCCAGGGAGAACAGCAGAAAATGATCTTCAAGGAAAAGAACGGAAATGCAGGTAGAGAGTCTGAAATTAACTTTAGACCACAGTCACACATAAGGTTTTGAGGCAGACCTTGAAGGGGTTCAGATTCCCTGTGGTAAAGCCTCTTTTTCTACTCAGAAGGTTACTTTTCCTCCCAAAACACCAAGCTGAAGTGGAAGACACACCTGATCTTGTGCCAGTTCTTCTGCCTCCCAGTTGCTGCAACGCACATGAGGAGATTTGTCAAGTGGGCAGTTCAGGACTTTTTCAGCTAAAGACTTAAGGCTAAGGCAGTTGTGAAGTAGATCCTTCCTTCGGTTTAACAAAGAAAGTGAAACAAACATATTAAAAATTAAAGTATACACTCATATAAATTCAGATGGCCTCATAGACCCTGAACCTGCCAGAGCATAATGCACATGATGCATGACTCCCAAACAGCAGAGAGCTTCCTGTCAGCTTTAAAGGCCCTCTCCCTCCCCTCCATTAAAATGTCCTATCTAGATTTAGTAATTACCTTGTGTCTGCAATATGCAAAACAGTCAAGGCTGAAGTGTTTGCCTCTGAAATACTCACTTCTGAACTAAAGAGTTCCATCATAAAGTGATGGACCGCCTGCCCTAGGGATTCACGAGGAACCAAAGAGCCAGGAATGACTCAGAGGAATCCTGGCCACTAGAGACAAGAAGTCCATCCTCAGTGATAAAAAGGCACCATCAGGTCAGCCAACCCATGGCCCAGATCACTAATACCACACCTAGACATCCATATAACTGTACATGAAGAATACAGGCAAGTAAAACATTTTGTTTTAGGAAGAATGAAGGATAAAAAAATGACATCATAATCGTAACCTTTCCACAGAAGCATTTTTATTAAAAGAGAAAATTAGAACAGGTTTATTTAGTAATTTTTCAAGAAATCTTGAAATTCAGCAGTTCTACTTACATGCTCTGGGCACATGTAGCCCACACTTCTAGGCATTCAAACATCTGCTGACACAGTGATCACTTTCACTGCATTACATCACTGTGCTTGGACTTCTTAAAAGCTGAAGCATGATACTCAGAAAAGTGCATAAGGGTATTGCATGAGAAGACTAACAGACACAATTAGCAAATGAAATCCTCATGAAGATTTCATTTCCATTAAGACCACAGAATAGAGGCATGACATGTTCTTGGGCTGCAGCTGTCAATGCCCATTCTCTAAAGTCACCCTGAGAACTTCAGACCTACCAGACTGATATCATTCAGCATATGCAAATTACTTTAACAATATTTCCAACTCAAATGATGCCTCCAACAGAGCTGCCTCTGTCTTCAGGCACTTACCTCTGTCTCATGGCTAAATACCGCAGATCCACACTCCCTTTGACTGGAAGGCCATAATCATGAAGCAGCTTGCAAGCATCTTCCCAGCATCCAACCCCAACTTTCAACACAGTACTATCTGCCATGATGTCCAACAGGGTCTTTGGGAGAGTCTGTCCACTGGCAACAAGCCTGGGCAACCGAACAAGAATGCAGAGGCCACTGGAAGAAGCCATCTGTAGCAGGGATACAGGATTTGCTCTTCCCTCCACAGATACCTGTAATGAAATAAAAAATGAGGAGTCCAGGTTACAGTATTATTAGTAATGCGGGAGCTGGAGCAAATTGCAAAAGAGGCCACTGAAGACAGGAAATACTCATCAGTCAAGTGTTGTTACGTCTCTAAAATTTCACTGCAAATTATGTGATCTGTTTCACAGTATTACTGTGGCAAGCTACTTCTTGCCACACTCCTACAAGGGCATCTTTCCCCTTTTCATCCTTCCCCCTCATAGCTGAGCCGGTGAAAGAGATCAGACACATTTCTTAATCCACATCAGCACAAAGCCACCCACTACATATACATATATATATATATATATATATACGTATGTATGTTTGTGGCAAATTCATTGTTTAACTGTGGCTTGTAGTAATGACTGTGGGGTGAATAAATTTCCAGCCAAAACAATGGCAAAGACAGGCTTTATAAATGGCTTAAAGCCTGTTTTGAGAGATCAGACAAGCAAATGTACAAGGAAAAGAGGAACTTTACTTTCTGGTTGTCCGGTGAGTTTTATCTACGTATCAGTATTATCCTTCTTTTTGGATTTATTATACTTAAGATATTGTTTCTTAAAAATGTGGCCGGATTTAAAATAGTGTAAACCCAAGCTACTTCTAGTAAATTACCTTCAAAGAGCTAGTACACAAAACACATAATGCTATATTTAGCCATACAATTATCACTCTATTTAGTAAAGTCGATTTACCACTGGAGCTCAGTAAATAGTTAGTTAAAACCATAGCATACTTAAAGGTAAGAGCAATCAAAATTAGCAGCTATTTCACTGCTATCAGGATAGACAATCCCACAGGCAGTTTCAACACTCCTAGAAAATCCATTTAAACAAAGGAATCACCCCACCCTCACTGTTGCAATTTGCAATCTAAAGGAGAGGCGCTTCTTGATCACTCACCCACTCACAATCAATTCCAAGCACCGGCCACTTCTCCAGCTCCTTCTTCAGCAGTGGTTCAACACGATTCCACTCCTCCTGCTCTGAAACTATCACTATGTCTGCACCAAGGGAAAAGGTGGGAGATCTGAAGACGGAAAGCACCTCCTTATCCTCTGTCTTAATGAGTTTCTCATCTCCCGACTTTATAGCTGCTTCTTCTTGCTGACTACTATGGCATGCTTTTCCTTTCCGACGTTGGGTTGCTTTCCACAAAACCAGGCCTCCCACTGCAACACCCAGCAGGGTCGCCAAAGTTATTGTCACTGCTGTTTGCTTGGGCATTTTTTTTAATTTCCTTTTCTATCCCTTCACTTCATCCACACAAAACGGCATTGTAGGATTTCATCATGGCCTGCAAAGAAAAATGAGAGCTGGAAATTAAGGACAACTTAATGAAATGTGTTTAGAGATATTAAATACATGCAATGGTATACATAGCAAGGTCCTAGCCACAACTTGTGATCCTGACAGAAGAAGGACCCACTTAGACTGGGGGGTCTGGGGACAGACCACTGCAGTTGTGGATTGAGCAGTAACAGGAGACTGAATGCTGCTGTTGACTACACCACAGAAAACCTTAAAGGGAATGCATTAATTTATACTGGTGGAACTGGATGCTTCCACAAACTCTGATATTCCAAAAATAAACTAGTCATGATTATTACCAACATCTTTTAGTCCAGTTTGGAACTAGATCAACCTAAACAAGGGCAAGATGGAATTGCTGCAGAATAAGCATGTCGGTTTATGCATTAGTAAACAATAGGCATTTGTCCATTACATTCACATCCATACTAGGGTCAAATGGCTCTTCAGGCATTGAAAAGCCCTAAAGAAGCAGCATCTATTCATAACATAGCTTTCCCTCTATCATACAAAAGCTTGGTACCCCTTCAGTAAACTGAAATCAATCCTGTCCCTGCATCCCCACCTTCCCAACCCACCGCGTAGTTTCTAAAGGGCTGCCCTGACGCACTCTCTCACCCAAGCAGAAGTTCTGGTGTCGGTGCTGCTACAGCTCTGCAGAACCGCTGTCAGAACCCCGATCACGGGCCGGGCACCTGCCTAAACGCCTGCGAAGTGACAGTAATTCCCTCCCGCCTCTTAAACAGAGCGAGAAGGCTGAACACAAGCAGGGCCACGCGCCCTTACAGCCCCTCGTGCGGATGCCCCATCCCGCCGGGGCAGGGAAGCCCCGAAGAGACAACACGGCCCCTGCCCAGCCCGGGGGCAGCGGTGCCATGGTCGGGGGCCCGAGCCGAACGCTCCTGCGGGCCGGCCCAGGGCTCCACGGCGAAGGCGCTGCCCGCCTTAGGCTCGCCCGGGGATATCCCGGGAAGAGGCCCGGACGCCGCTCCGGCACGGAGGGAGCAGGCGGGAGGCCGCGGGCGCACCGGACCGCGTACCGGGGCACCTGCGGGCGCGGCCGCTCCCGGGACGCGCGGAGCAGGCTCTCCCCCCGCGCCCGGCCCCGCCGCCCGCCCGCGGGCCTCGCTGGGCGCCCACCGACCCGCTCGCTGCCTGCGTCTCGCGGAAGGGCTGCGTCCGGCGGCAGGAACCCCCCGCGGGGCAGTCGCCACACGCACCGGGAGGCTTAGAGCGGCGGACGCTTCCTCTGTGCCGGCGGGGCGGGCGGGCGGCGGGCGCCGCCATGTTGTACGGCAGCTGGTGTTGGGGCGGCTGTGTACCTGGACAGGCGTCAGCGTGCCTTCAGCCGGGGCAGCGAGCACTGGCAAAAATACTGAAAAGCGAGCTCTTTTCTGGAGAGTGAAAAGAGCGGCTTGTTGTCTGAGATTAGGAGGGCTCGAGGAGCGAGCCGCAGCGGGGCAGTGGAAGCCACCCGACCCGGAGGACAGGGGAGCCCCTCGGGCAGGAGGGATCAGAGAGAATGGGAAGAACAAAGGCAGCCAGGAAAATAAATAGGAATGCGTAGCCACCTCGAAGTGGCAAACTGGAAGAAAACAAAGAGGGGGGAAATCGAGCGGTAAGTATCAAGAAGTTAACAGAGGAATAATCATGACAATTGTTCCTCCCTTGTGTGTGGAAAAATACGACCGTTAGAAACGTGATACTGCAAAACAGGGACAATGAGTATTCAGGCAGCTGCTATGGTCAGGGTTATGACCATCAAGTTTTGAGGCCATCATTGTCAAAAAGCAGACACGTTTCCAGACCAAATTCTGTTGCAAATTAAAGGATTTGAGCACCCAATTTCTTACAATTCCTTTACAATTCCAAATATTTCCCAATTTTTGTGCTGTTAGAATTCCAGCTAGCAGTGTCTGTTTGAAGCAGACATTAAACCCACAAGAAAGATTGCTTTAACAATTTGACAGCATCAAATGTTGCTTTAACTTTGCCACTTACAATCATGAGGGAAGGAGGATCTCCCTAGCAAAGACTTGGCATTGAGCAGACACATTATCCAAGGAGTGCAACAAAGCAGCTAATGGCTGACATCAAGGAAAATCTCTGTAGAAGCAGTATTTTTTTCCATCTGTAAGTAAATGCTCAATCTTTATTGTCCCCCTTCTTATTTCTTAACTCAAGAATGCTGTATGGACCTATTGATAGCACAAAAGGAACACAAATGATTTCCAGAAGAGCCCTTTTCTGAGCAAATAAGGCCCTCCCCTTAATCAGAAAGAAGATGAGAAGGCTATTAAAGGTTGAGCAGCTACTGTTCTAAGGACCTGGTCTAAGCCAACATGGTGTGACCATGTCAGGTCTCACTGGTGGTGGGGTCACACCAGCGAAGTTTGTTTTCCATTGACTTCAATCTGTATTCTGAGCGCACAAATGCTTTATACTTCAGAGTTACAGCTTCTGTATAATAAGTGTTTCTGCAAAGCATCTCAATCCTCCTCTACAGTGAAGAGATTTTTATCCATTTTTTATATTAATCCGCTAGGGGTTACAAATCATTGCAATCTCGCACATCTTGTCACTGGTTCATTCTCCTCAGCAGGGAAGGTCTGCATCTGACTTAACAGTCACGACCTGGACACAGCCTCTCCATCCATCCCCTATGCTCCAATGCACCAGACAGCTGACCAGCTGAAATGGAGGTCACCAAGCAGGAGCCAGCACTACTCTGAAGCTCCTCACACAGCTTGTGCTCAGAAGAAAAGTGCATCACATGGATGCTCAGGAGAGAAAACTAGAGGGGTCTGGCTGTAACTGAGTTTCTGTAGTCAGGTGGACATGTTCTGCCTCCTCCTTTCCCTCTCTCTTCCCTTCACACTTCCCACCCTCCAAGGTATAATGCTTTGTTCTATTTGTTCACTGTAGTCTAGCATAAACCTGGATGGCCACTTGGAAGGATAGTCCCAGATTTCCTGTTGTACCTGTGATTTGACTGCTCGCTCCCTGCTCCCTTGCTCCAGCACCCACATTTCTGTAATGATGGGTCAGAAATCCGGAGACTAATCTGGCTGTGAACGAGTTCAAGGGAAAAAGGTAACACCTGGGGACACAACAGACTTGTTTAAGGCCCAGGTGACTGGAAGGAGACCTAAGAAGATGGTTTGTCTGGGCTCCAGGATGCAGGTCCCTCGTTGTGGGGCAGGTAAGGCATTCTTAAGAGAACTCTCTCAAAGCTCAAGATGAGTTCAGAATACCAAACAAATCTGCAAAGATTGTTTGTAGCCGGACCCATTTTTAATAAACTGGCATCCACACAAAATTTTGAAATAGGCCAGTTTTTCCTTTTACAAATTTTTTACTTTAGTTTCTAAAGTAATAGAAGTTTAAGTGTACGGTTACAATAGAGAAAAAAGCAATAAAATACCGCAACATTTATTACATAATAAAAGTCTAAAAGAGAAAATGCTAGCTTTTCTCCAAGTGACAGGACTGTATCCCTGGTAGCATTTAAAGCATTTATTTTTCATGTCATCACTGACATTAGAGAGTCCTGTAAACCATAAGTATCTTTAACAGCTTGTCTTGCTACCTACATAGCCATTTATTCAAGTATAAAGATTGAATTAAAAATAAATGAAAGCAACTGATGCATGAGTGTACTCTGGTAAAAAAAAAACAACAAAACAAAACAAGTTCCCAATACCTGATGGGGGCATTGCTGAGAGAAGGTAACCAAATGAGTAAACACCGACTGCTGGCTTAGCCTTATGTATAAGAAATCTGTTACAGCAGGTAACTGGAAGCCTTTACATGGTAAATAGCAAGATTTACTTTTCTGTTTCTGTAGCATAATCTGAGATTCTGCAGAGGTCTCTGTCAAAGGACTCAATTTTAGCCTGATTTCTTAAGGAAAGAAGGCTTATGCAATTACACTGTCTGTTGGTGTTTCTGTCTGTGGGTCCCATTATTTCCCACACTTTCCTTGCCAAGAAAGCATGTTTAAACCATTGCTCAATTCCATCTAAATTTGTACAAAAGTAAGTGAAATGAAAAGCCAAATCGATGAAACAGGTCGTAATAAAGCTGTCACTGATGGCAAGCATGTGCAGACACTGCATATACATATGAGATTGCACACAGCAGTGGCACATCAGGACAAGTCCATAGGAAACCAGGCTTCACTTGTTCTGCTGATCACAGAAAAAAAATTTATTTTTATAATTATATTAGCTCATCCTTTAGGAGGGAGAAGACCAGGGTAAATGACTCAGTGTTCAAAGGAAAATCAATGATTGTGGAATATCAAAGGAAAGAGGCTCCAGTCAAGACTAAATTGCTGGTAGCAGACAATGAGCAGAGAGCTCATTGTCCCCAGTACCTACTGTCCCCAGTAGCTCATTAATAACACTCTCTTTGGGGCCCCATCCCAAGCTACAAAAGAGAACCGAACTCGCATTTCAACTCCTTGTGTGATTTATCTTTCTCCTGTCGGTGCTAGTAACCCTGTACCTACATGTGCAAACAAGCCATTTTGAGCAAGGTTTGTTTTAAGAGGGTTGATACTGGGGAGGCAGTAGGATTTCTTCTTTCCTCAAGAAGTCAGAGTGAGATCAGTTTCAATCAACTGTGAAGCTACATCCTACAGGTGGAGTTTCACACTGCAACAAGGTGGATAGAAGGTTTAGCTTCTGTTGAAAAGGCAGTTCTGCTTCCCTCTTCTACCTGTTGGCATTCTTCTACAGCCTCACTTCTGCAAACCGCTGGTGGCCAGTTTGATTCAAGGAATTAAGCGAGTGGAAAGCTAGCACAGAAAAAAATGGAGATTTCTCATGGTTTAACTCCTTGTAGTAACTCACCATACAGCCAGACCTCAGTGAAACTACATCCTAAGCCAAAAGATGAGTCAGTGGTTGCTCACTGCAGGAATATGCCAAAGTTTGCACGGTTTGCAAAGAATTTGAAAAAAACACTCTCAGAGGTATGTAAGCTGCCAGATCCCATGAGGATGAGCTATATTAGCGTCGATCATCATCAATGTATTTCTTTCTTAATTGCCAACTCTTTTCACTATTTATGTAGAAGCTAAGAGGAATTTCACAATTCCATTTCTTGAAGAGCACTTAACTTATCCCAGTGGTTCAGCCCAGAAGGCACATTCAGTCAGCCTCACAGTTTATGGCTGCTAAGAGTATGATATCCCCCCCACTCCCAAAACTCAGCTCTCATCTGGGCACTCCAGACTAGCCTGTGCTGATTTTGGCATTCACTGGGACACTTTCATGAGTCAAATATACATTTGAGAGAACAATCCTTGTTCTTCCTATCTTTCTGGTCCATGAAATTAGTAAGCAAAAGGAAAAAAGCCTAGAAGCCATCACATTTTCACTAGAAGGAATAACACAAGGACAATTATTTTTAAAAAATTATATGGCTAAAATATGATATAGTCTTCTTGGTTTACCCTCCATTTGTTTCTATTTCCCTTAAAAAAAAAAGTATAAATCAACAAATTAATAAAAGCCTTGACTTTGCTCCACTTTCCTAATAGTATGCTCACTCTCTCTGACTCAGTCCACAGACATCCAACTATAAGTGTCCAAACTTCTCAGTTTCCGCTCTAGATTAACCAAAGCCATTCAACAGAACTCAAAAAAGTGTATTTAAAGCTCATTCTCTCTAACCTGACACAATCGACCATGCTTCACTTACTTTTCTTTTTACCTATTTAAGCCTTTCAAGTGTTTGACAGCCTCTCAGAGAGCTGTATCCTTGGTCTTCTCCTTTTATGCTCTCTGAGTTATCTCATCTGA